AGAAATGGTGATCCGTATAGTAATAGAGGATAGACTAGAAATGGTGATCCGTATAGTAATAGAGGATAGAGTAGAAATGGTGATCCGTATAGTAATAGAGGATAGAATAGAAATGGTGATCCGTATAGTAATAGAGGATAGAATAGAAATGGTGATCCGTATAGTAATAGAGGATAGAGTAGAAATGGTGATCCGTATAGTAATAGAGGATAGAATAGAAATGGTGATCCGTATAGTAATAGAGGATAGAGTAGAAATGGTGATCCGTATAGTAATAGAGGATAGAATAGAAATGGTGATCCGTATAGTAATAGAGGATAGAATAGAAATGGTGATCCGTATAGTAATAGAGGATAGAGTAGAAATGGTGATCCGTATAGTAATAGAGGATAGAATAGAAATGGTGATCCGTATAGTAATAGAGGATAGAGTAGAAATGGTGATCCGTATAGTAATAGAGGATAGAATAGAAATGGTGATCCGTATAGTAATAGATGGTGATAGAATAGAAATGGTGATCCGTATAGTAATAAAGGATAGAATAGAAATGGTGATCCGTATAGTAATAGAGGATAGAATAGAAATGGTGATCCGTATAGTAATAGAGGATAGAATAGAAATGGTGATCCGTATAGTAATAGAGGATAGAATAGAAATGGTGATCCGTATAGTAATAGAGGATAGAATAGAAATTGTGATCCGTATAGTAATAGAGGATAGAATAGAAATGGTGATCCGTATAGTAATAGAGGATAGAATAGAAATGGTGATCCGTATAGTAATAGAGGATAGAATAGAAATGGTGATCCGTATAGTAATAGAGGATAGAATAGAAATGGTGATCCGTATAATAGAGGATAGAATAGAAATGGTGATCCGTATAGTAATAGAGGATAGAATAGAAATGGTGATCCGTATAGTAATAGAGGATAGAATAGAAATGGTGATCCGTATAGTAATAGAGGATAGAATAGAAATGGTGATCCGTATAGTAATAGAGGATAGAATAGAAATGGTGATCCATATAGTAATAGAGGATAGAATAGAAATGCTGATCCGTATAGTAATAGAGGATAGAATAGAAATGTTCATCCGAATAGTAATAGAGGATAGAATAAAAATGGTGATCCGTATAGTAATAGAGGATAGAATAGAAATGGTGATCCGTATAGTAATAGAGGATAGAATAGAAATGGTGATCCGTATAGTAATAGAGGATAGAATAGAAATGGTGATCCGAATAGTAATAGAGGATAGACTAGAAATGGTGATCCGTATAGTAATGGAGGATAGAATAGAAATGGTGATCCGAATAGTAATAGGGGATAGAACAGAAATGGTGATCCGTATAGTAATGGAGGATAGATAGAAATGGTGATCCGTATAGTAATAGAGGATAGAATAGAAATGGTGATCCGTATAGTAATAGAGGATAGAATAGAAATGGTGATCCGTATAGTAATAGAGGATAGAATAGAAATGGTGATCCGTATAGTAATAGAGGATAGAATAGAAATGGTGATCCGTATAGAGGATAGAATAGAAATGGTGAGGATAGAGAGGATATAGAAATGGTGATCCGTATAGTAATAGAGGATAGAATAGAAATGGTGATCCGTATAGTAATAGAGGAGGATAGAAATAGAAATGGTAATAGAGGATAGAATAGAAATAGTAATAGAGTAATAGAATAGAAATGGTGATCCGTATAGTAATGGAGGATAGAGTAGAAATGGTGATCCGTATAGTAATAGAGGATAGAATAGAAATGGTGATCCGTATAGTAATAGAGGATAGAATAGAAATGGTGATCCGTATAGTAATAGAGGATAGAATAGAAATGGTGATCCGTATAGTAATGAGAGGATAGTAGAAATGGTGATCCGTATAGTAGAGAGGATAGAGGATAGAATAGAAATAGAGGATCCATAGTAATAGTAATAGAGGATAGAATAGAAATGGTGATCCGTATAGTAATAGAGGATAGAATAGAAATGGTGATCCGTATAGTAATAGAGGATAGAATAGAAATGGTGATCCGTATAGTAATAGAGGATAGAATAGAAATGGTGATCCGTATAGTAATAGAGGATAGAATAGAAATGGTGAGGTATAGATAATAGAGGA